TTCTAGACCATTAATAATTTTTGTTTTAAAGTTGGTCTCAACTCTTAGGCTCACGAGAGGTTTGCTGTGAGTAATTTGTATGTATCGTAAGTGATGTTGGCAGCGTGTTTTTCAGTAATATGGTTTGTATTAATATCGTCCTAGAAAGGTAATCAAATTTATGTATTTTGATTATAATCTGATTTTTCCTAACAGTCGTTTTAAAAAAACGTTTGATCGAATTATTCAGTGTCCACGAGTTAAACTTGTCTTCCACTCTGAAGAACTTGTACTCATGTCTCGAGTTATAAAGTAATATTACATAATTCAAGTTTGGTATTAACGAAATGTGAAAATCTAGGTCATGAAGTTTATAAATAACTCGTGTTATAGATAATAATAGTATGATCCTGACATTAAATTAACATCAGTTTACTTCCCCAATAATAAACCGTTTGACTGAACCATTTTTCCTAGATAGCATATAATACAAGTGGAAAGGCAAAAAATAATTTTGATTTGAAAATTAAATAGGTTCTATGCTTTGTCAGCAGTGGTTAAGAATGGTTATCTGCTCGTAAATTGAACTAATGTGTGCTTTGTTGTGGCTGTTATCAGTGTCATTAATACTGTATAATTACCATCATCTAACGCCATGGTCAGTTTAATTAAGATAGTAATAACAGTTTAGTTTTTTTATTTAGAATAACACCCACCACTCCCTCGGAGTTCCAGATCAAGGTAAATGTGAAGCAGTTTGCTCTGTAACATCCTGTAAATAGTTATAAATAAATGTTTACTTATTAACCAACAGTTGTGGTCTCATCTTTTTTCGACACTAATGCAATCTTTAGATTAACAAGACACTCCAAAAATGGAACAAAATATTCATGCTGAAATACATTTCCACGACATATTTTGTTGTTATTAAATGCAGTGTGTACACAATTACATATTATTAAACATTAGGGCTTTTATTGTGAATTGGCCGTATTTTAAATTATGGGGCTAATGAAATTTAACTTTCCTGATAAAAACGGTTTCGTGAAAAACTACCAGCGATTTTTAAAATATAATGATTACTGGCGAAAAATTCAACTATTTTACACTGTTAATAAGAAATCGTATTGAACGAATGATCTTTACACGAGTATTAAAACGTGTAAAATTTGTAGGATTTAAAAGTACAGGTGAAACATGTTTGCCATTAGTGCTTAACGAAATGAAACGCATTAAGCATCGCAATGTAAACACAACTCAAAAATATTAACGAGTAGGGGCATAGTACTTCGTGAGTACGTGTATCTGTACGTAAACCCGTCGCACCACAAGTGGTTCAGTGGTAATCGTCTTTGATGTAAGAAGGTTGCGCGTAATGACATCATTCGTCACGTGACAAGGGGTGATATTCTAGTGGCGAGTTCACTCTCCAATCAGTGTGCAAATAGTGAAAGGATTCTGTGAGAAGTGAAATGTCAAACTGAAAAGCTAAACCTAAAACTTGTTGCTCTTGCACAGAACGTACTTTATTTTACGCCATGTCTTAGTGGCTTGGGTGTTGTGATTATGTCTTTTGATGGAGGAGTTGAACTAATTAAATTTCCATGACAGAATAAAAGTGTTTCATTTCGCTCCTGCGCATAACGTGCTGAGCTTTAAGTAATGACGGGAATAGGGAGTGGGGTAAATGTTGGCTGTTTTGATTACATTATTTGGAAAATGAATTGAACTGTTTGAATTTCATTCACTAATGTAAAAGGTCTTGTGACATTTTATCGAACACTTCTTGACTTGTTAAACTGTGCCCCGTTTACTTTATATCAAAACGATTTGTTCGTGTCAGAATTGTATTCTGATTTTTTAAAGGCTGTTTGGTTAATTTTTTGTGTGAGTTTAAGATCGCCCATTAAAGGTTTGCTTTCTCTAGGTCATTTCACAGAAAACAATACATCCACATGAAATAAACATATTAAACTGAAGTTTACATGGATTTATTTAACAAGTATTCACTGGCGATTATTTAATAATTCAACTAATTAAATTTAGTGATATAACATTTACAAATGTCAACACATTGTTTTATACGCGCTGGTAACATTCAAACTGTACATGCTTTAAAAATGACAAATTTAGGTCAACAACACGGTTGAATTCTAGATTCAGTTACGGAAGCTATTGTACATATAAAGTATCATTCGAAAAACTGGCTGTGTATCATGATGATGAGGCTATTGAAACTTCTCAAAAAGAAAGGTTATTGACAAAACGGTGACATTGAAATGCTGTACATTTGTTTACATTGTTAACTAGCAAAGTACGAAAGCGAAGTAGGTTTTTAACTAAACTGTGTGTTGGCTGTTTTAAAATAGTGTTTGGAAAATATGTTTTAATAGTTCCATACCTTGGCTCTTTGTAAATATCTTTATGGTAATTCGCACTATCGATCATTAGTTAACTCTTCAGTAGTGTATAATTTAAGGCGCCAAACTTTCTACCAAAATCCGGTAATCTTTTGAGTCTGTTAACGCGTGTTTAATTGAACAATTTGTTCGAAAACTTTTTTAATCTAAGTACGGTGGGAGTATTAACAAGCCTAAACAAGAGACCAAGTTAACATGTATACTTAAAAAAAAAAATGGGTGAAACACAACCAGATCGTTTCACAAATTTAAAACTAATTGGCGAGAGAGAGAGCATTAGTAATTCATTAAGAAATTACCTCTGTTACACCAAGTATAACATATATGTATTAAGTTGTTAAGGAATCAACGAGGCACAAGCTTTGGAAGTAGAGGGAAAATACTATGGATATCAGAATGAAAGGCTTGGAAAAAGGGTCATTATCCTGTTGTTACATGTTTGGCTGGGGAATATGCGGTAGTTAAACTAATAGTGTTAAACACATTTTCCCTTAATGTATTCTGAAAACGTTTGAAAATAGTACCTATTTTTAAACGTTTAAATCAGATGAAATTGTTTGGGAGGAGGAAGGGGTAAATATGCAAAAAAAAATATGAAGAGATAAAACACATTTAACGTTTGAAAATTGTAATTTTTATTTAGCACAACGTCTTCGTAGTACTTTTCATTATATCCCGGTGGAATTCGGATTCAACAGCTTTTCGTTTCAGTTTTTTTTTTCCCCGAATGTGTTTGTGTGGCGTCGTAATCCAACCTAAATTAGTCCACTAACCTGTTTACGCGACTCGAGGCACGATGGGGTTATTAATCGAACATGTGGGAAACTCACGACGATCACGAAATGGGTAAGAGTGTGAGACTGTAGTGGCTCGTTTCGACGTGACGTTTTAAGAGGAGCGTCGTACTGACGTCATATTAATGATTTTATCCGTAGCCAACATGTAAAGTGTACCTAACTTGTTGAATATAAAAACTACCTTAAATTAATATTTGGACACTTGAAGCATTGTTATAATTATTTCTGTTACTCAAACAGACATTATTCCAGAATATATTTACAACGATTCATAATATAATTAGTCTTGTTCACTCTCATATCACGAAATTTGAACTGTGACATGTGTTTCTATCAGTCAGTGTTGTACACATTTGAACAAACATCTTCGTAACTGTCATTTATTTGATACATCAACAATTAATACAACCCGCGAGGGGGGGGGGTGTAATTACATACTAGACCAAACGTGGAGTAACGACCTCGAGATTTTGAACGTGACAACATTTTTATACATCAGAATTGAAACAAACCAGGTTTTGTGAAGCGTTAACGATTCGACAGTTATGTTATTTGCCTTATATATACATATATATCTAGTGAACTCAAAATTTCTAGTAGTTACAGGTTAAAAAGTACTTTCCTTTCTTGGTTTGACCTAAATTATATGCATTACATTGTACAAGGGCGTGGCTTAGTTATTAGTAATGCTGGGATCGTGAATTCGAAGGTTCATGGCTCGTGTCCCCTTGCCGTATAAACTCTTTTTGTGGGTGCATTTCCGGACCGATAGTCAAATCCCACTGTTGGAACAGATAAGAGGTGATGGTGGGCGATGTTAATTAGTTGTCTTCTTCTTATTATTAGTTAGTATCGCTATTCACAGTTAACTTTTGTGTATTCTTGCGTAAAATTCTAAAACAAATGAACAGTTATAAGATTGTTTTTATGTAATTTAAACACGAATGTATGAAGGTAAAAAAGAAATCTACAGGCGGAAGTACAATGATCAAATATAAGGTTTCATTAGCCAACAAGTATGCGAACTTGTGGGTTAATAAAACCATATATTTTAACGACGTACTTCGAAATTAATGAGACAATAAAGAAAGTTCTTGGACATTAAAAGAAATGATTGTTTTAATTATGATGTCTTATGCACAAACTCACGTATATATATATATACATATATATGTGGATTCCGGAAACTACTATATCGGATTTAAAAATTAATCCAGAGTTTTGCCATCTTTCCTTTATAATTGCTGTAAAGTGCACTAAAGAGACGGAGATTTTTATTATCATGGTTATACAATGAAACTTATATAATGCAGTGTATTATTATTGTACTTCTTTCGTTTCCAAAATTCATTTTTAAACGCGACTCTTGAACCATCTTCTAAAGTTTGTAATTGAATAATTTGTGCATTGAAGTGTGACTGGACAGTGTGAACTGTGAAGTTTATATTTTGATAGCATGTATGTGTTTAAATTATATTTATTCTTTGTAGTTAATAGTTCTGTGTAGAATTAGGGCTGATTGATTTGTGTGCAGAACTGGTGTTATTTGTTTACAAGATCAAGTAAAGTTGTGTCTGGGTGTGACAGATGATTCTAATATGTATATTTTGTGTAGTAGCTTTTTGTATTTAAAAATTTGATATATTGGCCTGAATATGTTTATTATCTTATTGAATAACTAATATCCCTTTTTGATTATAGCATATTTTGGACAAAAAAGAAACAGGATCAACATATGACCTTATATCATTGGCATTTCTTGTTTGGATGTGATTTTAAATCTTTGATTTTTATTTACTTACAGCCTCATGAAAAAGTTTTCCAAAAAACTTGTCAGTCGCTGTGTGTACTGCAATGTCTTGCGATCAACAAAGCCAGAAATTCTTAGCTTGTAAGTATACATCTGTAACCATGTATTAAGCTATACTCATAAACTATTTTAAAATATTAAAATTGAATTTTAATAGTTTTCACTGTATCCCTTTCATTACAAATGCTTCTTCATATGGCATAAGTGTTGAAAAGGTTCTGAGTAATTTTGCTGCTAACTGTTGAGGACATTGTGATTGTAACTCGTTAATCAAGATGAATTAAATAATAAATAGTTTATATCTGTTTTAGAAAATTAGTTAAATTTAAGTAGGGCTGCCACATATTGAAAAACATAACCAAACTTTCATATTGGAATACAACTGTCCTACTAAATTTAATTTGGTTTTGGTATTTATTTCCAGTTTCGATGAATGCCTTTATTTTAATTTGAACTTCATCACAACTAGCATTGTATTTTGTTTATCAGCATCTTCTTGTTCTTTAATATAAAATTTGGTCTTAATAATATTTTAAATTTCTTGATGACTATTTCCCCTATAATTCATTAAGATTTCTCAAGTATTGATGGTATTTTATTTCCATTATGAATGCTTGTATTATGAATTTCACTTTTTTCCTAATATCTAATTATCACTTATGTATGTATTCTTAAATCCTAATATAAATTTCTGTATTACTGATAATTCTGTTTTGAGCATCTTTCTCTACTTCATTTTAAGTTTCTTTGTAAATTATGTATATTTTATATTCATCTTTTAGTATCAATGTCTGTGTTTTATTGATATTTTAACTGTGACATGTTTGTCTTTGGAGACTTTTTGAAGAATTTTAATTTATTACAAATTGTTTTTTATGAATGTTTTAATGTATTTAGCATAATTTTAAATGTATTGATATGTTACTCATTACTTTAGTGTGCTGCCCATGTTATTTTCTTATCTATTTTTGTATATTGAACATTTATTTAGAAGGATATTCAATACATGTATATGGTACATCTGGATTGTTTTGTATGGAATGTTTTTGATAGGTTTTTAAATAGTGATGGCTGGGGAACTTTAAATCATTGGATTCAAGATGCGAAGGATACAGAAAATTATGCTTTTGTTTTGGAGCTTCTGAAGCTATGCCATTTATTGCCTATGACAGTAGAAAGACTTAAGGAAAATAACACTGCAAAACTTGTGAAGTCGTTAACTAAAAGCCCAAATGAAGGTTAGTTTCAGCATCTTAGGGCAAACTGTTAGCTGTAATGTCTTTACAGTCTGGTTTCCAAATAAAATGTAGATTTATAGTTATATAAGTGGTGAATTCATTAAAGTATTGTTTTTCTTGCTCATATTTTAGTTATTATTACAGTTAATAAGGAAAGTGATTCATCCTAAGTAAAAAAAAAATTACTTGGTCTTTGACCATTAGCTAGCCACAATGCATTTGGTTGTGGTATATAGAATTACATGTTTCATAAAATAAATTCTATTTATATGATTTTGTATTGTAAGAAATGTGTTTATCAGAAGCTCAAAAGCTCTACCATACAATATATAAATTTATGACTCTGAATTTTTCAAGAAAACCCAATGTTATATTTATGAAACCTAAGCTGGTGACCAACTTTAAAATCAAAATGTGCTTCATTTATTTTAATTCAATCCAAGGATTTTTTAGATGATGCATTACTTGTTTATGTTTGAACATGCATTATAATCAACTGGAAAACACAGTTGTTGTCCATATTGGATATCATCAGTGCAATGTAAATTATTATAAGTTTGATAATATAATACAAAATGAATATGTAATTAAGATTAGTTTATACATTTAAGCAGAGAACATAGGTTTGCTTAAAAGAAGCTTAGTAGTCTTTATACATGCAAATGATTACAAATCTGTATGTTTCTGTGTTCAATAACCAATACCTTTATTTAATTTGATTGTCTTTTTTAGTAATTAATTTCTTTTTCTAGATATTAAGATATTAGCATCTGAAGTTGTTGAAGAATGGATGAAATTAATCAAAGGAGAGAAGGCTGAGAAATCTGAGACTGCTTATGAAAAATTAGGTATGTTTTATCTATTCTTATTTAATTATATTTTATTCAGTTTATTCTGAAAGTTAATAGGAAAAAAACTGATAATGATTGATGTTTGAAATTATTCAAAGAAAAGAAGTCTGAGGCTGCTAGTGAAAAATTATTATGTTTTATTTGTTTTTTATTTAATTATATTTTATTTGGTTTATTCTGAAAGTTAATAGGAAAAAAAAACTGATAATGATTGATGTTTGAAATTATTCAAAGAAAAGAAGTCTGAGCCTGCTTGTGAAAAATTATTATGTTTTATTTGTTTTTTATTTAATTATATTTTATTCGGTTTATTCTGAAACTTAATAGGAAAAAAACTGATAATAATTTATGTTTCCTACAACGTAACATTATCTGCATAATTAATTTGAAAAATTGTGAGGTCACAATTGCCTAATTTTTATTAATCTGGAATTCAACAAATTAATGATCGGTTTGGATAGTTTAAATTATTTTTCCAGACACCTGTTACCTTAATGATATATTTCAACCAACATTTTGCTGTTTGATTTCTCATTGTAAGAATGCTATCATGTCTAATTCATCTAAACAATAATCTTATTATTTAATTTTCTATTGTAACATTTTTTATGTTTAACCGACTGTTTTAGTAATCTCAATTGATGATTTTGCATCATAAAATATTTATTGTCTAACATTTTGCTGTCTTTTTTTTTATTTGCAAACTCCAAATCACATTTCACTTAAAAGATTTAGTTAAAGATATTAATATTGCAATTTTACATTTTCATAAAGTTACATCACAAACAAGCTGTAGGAAATACAGATGTCAAAAGTAAAAATGAAATTTTGCTGTCATTAAACATTATTAGAAAATTTTCTTTCATAACAGATCTTTCATATTAGTTGTATTGTTTCATCTTTTGTATTTTATAAATACCACAGATGTGGGGCTCAAGTTATGAAAAAACCTCAGTGATAAAATTGCATAATGTTATTTGCATTATTTATTATCTATGAAATGCATATATATATATTTCCATTTTAATGCAGGTTAATTTAAAATATTTTTTTGAAACTTTTTTTTTCCTTTATTTTTGTTTAACATTAAATATTCATATTGTTACAGAAAAAATAAAAAGAAGAAAAAGCGAGAAAAAGAGCAAAGCAAAGTCAGAGAAAATAAAACTGAAAAAACTGACAATAACCATGAAAGATTTAAAATAAGGGAAGAAAGTAAAGAGAAAATTCGACTTAAACAAAAGACTGTTGATAATAGTGATCTTGAAGATGTAAAGCCTATACTGTCAGAAGAACCTCAGATTAAGAAAGCTAAGACTGACAGACCAAAAACAGTGAAAGCTTACCAGACAAGGTTCCGATCTACAGGTAAAGACTTGGTTTGTTTCCTCTCCCTTCTTATTAATTGTGAAAATGTAGTTTAGATTAACCCTGGTGACCTGACTGAATCCTTTAAATACTTGGTTATTTAACAGGTATACTTGCCTTTGTTACAGGATTTTTTAAGATATAACAAATATTTGTATTACCTAAAGGTGTAACGTAACAATTTTATTGTCATTTATTTTAATGTTGTAAAATAACAACAGAGAATTTAACCTTAAATTATTGAAAAGTTATGTTTTGGGAATGTTGAATATATGGTTATGTGCAGTTGGCAATTTTTTTTTTGTTATTGTAAAATTCTTACCATATGTCTTTATAATAACTCAGTGGGCTTTAATATTACTAGATTATTAAGCTTAGATTTGATTTGAAATTTATTAGAGATTGCTTAAACTAACTGCTTGAGATTTGAGTTTCAACTAAGTACCTTTCTTCCCATTAAACTAAGGTTGTATGAACTAAAAACATTTCTTCCCATTAAGCTGAGGTTGTATGAACTAACTACATTTTTCCCATTAAGCTGAGGTTGTATGAACTAACTAAATTTTTTCCCATTAAGCTGAGGTTGTATGAACTAACTACATTTTTTTCCAATTAAGCTGAGGTTATATGAACTAACTACATTTTTTCCCATTAAGCTGAGGTTGTATGAACTAACTACATTTTTTCCCATTAAGCTGAGGTTGTATGAACTAACTACTTTTCTTCCCATTAAACTAAGACTGTATGAACTAACTACCTTTCTTCCCATTAAGCTAAGATTGTATGAACTAATTACATTTCTTCCCATTAAGCTAAGATTGTATGAACTAATTACATTTCTTCCCATTAAGCTAAGATTGTATGAACTAATTACCTTTCTTCCCATTAAATTAAGGTTGTATGAACTAACTTCATTTCTTCCAATTAAACTAAGGTTGGTTGGACTGAATATTTTTCTTCCTATTGAGTTAAGATTGTTTCAATTAAATACTTTCCCATTGAACTGAGGGAGGCTGCCTCAACCTAATACATGTTTTCCCCCTCACCAAACTAAGATTGCCTCAGCTAAGTGCATGTCTTTCCTGCAGGCTTAGAAGAGGCTACTCCCTTACCCAAAGACGTTCATAAAAAAATTCCTACAGTAGACAAAAGTGCTGCCGTGGCTGCAGCTAAAAGTGCTGTGAAACGATTAAATGTTACTAGGGAAGTCAAACCTCCAGAAAAAAGGATAAAACCTTCAAGTCTGATTACTGCAGTGGAAGAAAACAGTACAGGCCCTGGGATTAAACTGATCCCTCCAAAACCAAAACGTACGTTATATATTTCCAGTGTTAAAACAAATAACGCATTTTATATTTTTCCAATTTTGTCTGCTTATATTTTCTTGATTAGATAAGACAATTTTATAGAAATATTATGATTTTTTCTTTTAGTGTCCAAGTAATTGCTGAGCCTGTTATCAGTATAATAGAAACTGAATATAAATATCTTCCTCTTTATGAATGCCATTTCGCATTTTTCATAAAAGTGCCTACCTTATACTTAATAATGTTAAATATTCTTCGTAGAAATTATTATTTTTTTGTTCCAGGACATAAATAATATTCTTTTCTTTCTTCATGTTGTTTATCTATTTGCCGTTCATTATTAGTAGCTTGTTATACACACATATATATATGCCATTTGTCTATATGAACATCTCAAAAGTGCATTAGTAGCAACCGTTACTCTTCATGAAGGTTTTCTTCTTTTTGTTGTTGTTTTTTTGTAAGAGAAATAAACTATATTCCGTGTAAAAGTGGCGTTATTTTGTTCAGAACCGGTCTGTATTCTTCATAATATTGTTTTCTTTGGAAGCAGTTATCTTTTTTTTTTTATAAACTGAAGTTGTAGAAAGATGCTTGCTTTCTAATCGGGAACATTCGTTATTATTATTAATAAAACCAATTTAGAGTATAAATCTTATTTTTGATAAAAGTGCAGTGTAGGTATACATTTTTTAGGAAGTTTTCTTTATTGTTCAGGCCTTTGTACAGTTTCATCAAATGCTTGTTTTATTTCAGTTTTTTTTTAGTGATACGTCTTTATGAAGATACTTGTTTTGTTTTTAGCATTGCATTTTATTTATGAAGATATTTTTATGCTTTTAAGGGATACTATTTTAAATTTTTTAAGCAGTCTATATTTGTCATAATACTTGTTTTGTTTTCTTTTTTTGTGATAATATTTAAATATTTTATGTGAAAAACTGAAAACAGAAAGTGACTCTGTGACTAAGACTCGAACCTGGGTTCCCCTGGTTAGCTCTACCACTGAGCTAATCAAGAGTACATATTGTTCCCATCAGTGTTCACTTATAAAGCCTCTTGCTATTAGTATGATCACTGTACTACTTTATGATAGATACAATGACTAAATTTTATAAATCTATGATAGACTTACAGTTATTTGTTTAAAGCAACTTGGAACCAGTGAAAGGGTAATATTATTATATTGTAATAAATAGTATTAAGTATTTTATATGTAAACATGATTAATGAAAAGTTCTTAGAGAGTTTTTTTTCTTTCAGTTCTCTGTAGTTTAGGCCTTGGAATTTGCATATTTTGTCTCATTTAACAGTACATCTTTCTCCGAACATTTGTTTTGTTTTATTTTTTTGGTTATACATCTTCATGAAGAGACATGTTTGTTTTAAGAAATATGTTTTCTTTATGAGGGCACTTGTTTTGTTTCTAGCGGTTCATGTCCTTCATGAAAGTGCTGGATTCATGGATGCCCTGGTTGCAACTCCAACACCTACACCTCGTAAAAAGAAGAAAGCAACAGCAGCATCTAAATCCCCAACAACTCCTCCATCTCCTACAACTAATCCTCCAAGGTTTCAGGTTAGTCAGAGGGTATTTCATGCTACCTTTTTGTATATTTAAAAAAAATAAGTAAATAAATATATGAAAATGTCTTTCATGAAATATATATACTGTATTCTGTGTAGTATATATATATATACTGTATTCTGTGTAGCATATATATATATATATATATACTGTATCTGTGTAGTGTATATATATATATATATATATATATATATATGTATAGTATATATATATATATACTATACTAGTAAGTAATTAAGTTT